TGTTTTGAGACAGGGTCTCACTATGTAGTTGAGACTGACCTGGAAATCACTATGTAGCCCAGGCTGGTCTCAAACTCACAGTGATCCTCCTGCCTCAGCCTCCTAAGTGCTGGGATTACAGGCCTGCGCCACCACACCCGGCTGTTTAATAATTTTTAAAGCTGCATTTTAATGTTAAGAATTTACCTCAAGCACAGTTTTGGACTCAGTGTCATTTCAAAGTGCTCTTCCCGCACCCCAGAAACTGCCAGGTTAGTGTGGGGGTTAGATGTCAGCGCTGCTGCCCCTCCCTCCTGAGATTACACAACTGACTTCCAGCGGAGCCCTGGGCCGTTACCTTCAGCACAGAGGCCTTGCCTTCCCCGGTTGCCACAAATACCACAGTCCTGGCTGCATTCAGCACGGGGAGCGTCAGAGTCACACGCTGCGGCGGGGGCTTCGGGGAGTCACTGATGGGGGCCACAATCCTGTCCCGCTCCTAGGGGAGGAAGGGCGGGCGGGACAGAAAGGCACCTCTGCTGTTTTCCTGTCCTGGGATTGGGTGCAGGGCCTCCACAATGAGCTGCATCCCCAGCCCTTTTGTAAATCTTGAGGCTGGGGTCTCGCTAAATCGCCAGGCTGCCCAGTCACTTGCGCCCTCCTGCCTCTGCCTCCCAGCCTCCTGTGGTGCTCCTACACTGGCCTCTCCTCTTGAGCTGCACACACCAGCTTCTCACCCAGCCTTCGCTCAGCTCGGTGCTGGCCATTTACCTCCGTCCCCCACACACCGGGTCTGGAACAGGCCCCAGCCCCAGGACCGCATCAGGACAGGCCCAGGGCCCTGCAGCACTCACCTGCAGCAGTGGGTGGTCCGGGAAGAGCGAGCAGGTGTGGCCATCCGGGCCCACACCCAGGAGCAGGAGGTCGAACACCGGGACAGCATCTCCCTGGAAGGCCTGGCAGAGATGTGTGGCTCAGAGAGGCTGCCCGCTGCCACACAGTGGGGCTGGAGTACCTGGAATCTGGGGGGCAGCGCTGGGGGACAAGCCCAGGGCCTCACGCAGAGCCCCAGCCCTTTCTTTTATTTTGTGAGACAGGGTCTTGCTAAGTCTCTAAGTTGCCCGGGCTGGACTCGAACTGGAGATCGCCCTGTCTCAGCCTCCTGAGTGCAGGACTGACAGTTGCACTTGGGGATTTTGGAAGCCAAGGGGTTGCAGGGCTGACCCAGGGGTGGTCAGAGCTGTAACAGGACACAGAGCTTGGCCCCACCAGTAATGGCAAGGACTCCAGTCTCAGACTCTCCTTTCCAAGGGTGTGACAGGCTAAGGGCCACAGGGCTGGGGGGCCGGGGGGGCCCCCTGGGTGTCTCCGAGTGCCCGCAGACAGTTTCTGCTGGTGACATCACACAGGTTGCCCACCATGTGGTGAGACCCCTTGTAGCTGCTCCTAGAGACCCACCTGCCTCAGCTTCCTGGCATAGTCCTCGGCCGCCGCCTCCACAGGCAGCTGGGGGTCAATGGTGATGACCTGGCTGTCAGGGACCGGCAGTCTGGACAGCAGGTGCGTCTGTGGCAAAGACAGGATGGAGACTGAGACACAGCAACCCGGGCATGGCTGGATGCTGGCTGCTGAGCGCTGGAGCTACCACCACTCAGGGCAGAGGAGGTTCAGGACGGGTAGGTGCCCGGGTGCGCTTGGGCCGGGCCGGGACCTCTGGGTGGTGCACAACCCTTCTAGGAGAAGCAGAATCACAGGTCCCAGCCTGGGCCACGAGGACAGCAGGGCCCACACACCACAGTCAGCACCCACAGGGTTCCCAAGGCCACAGCATGGCCGCACCACATCACTCCTGGCCCTGGTTCCTCCACAGGGTGACCTGTGACCTCTCCGGGGAGAAGCCACCCTGCCCACGCCCCCCACTACCACAGCCAGGCCTGTCCACACGCAGGACCTCCTGGTAGGCAGAGGGCAGTGGGCCGCGTGGAGGATATGAGTTTGGCTTTGGTTTGTTTTTGTTTTGTTTTGTTTTGTTTTTTGTCCAGTACCAGGGATTGAACTCAGGACCTTGTGCTTGCGAGGCAGATGGAGGAACCACTGAGCTAAATCCCTGGCCCTGGTTGGTTGGTTTTGTTTTGTTTTTGTTTTTGAGACAGGGTCTCACTGTGCAGCCCAGGCAGGCCTCGAACTTGAGGTGAGCCTCCTGCCTCGGCCTCCTCTGAGTGCTGGGATGACAGGCGGACACCACCATGCCTGACAAGTTTTGTGTCTTAATTTTGAAAGGGTGCAGTTTTTAAGACGTTATGAGAAAAAGAAACGAAGGCCCACGGCTTTCTCATTCTTTTTTTCTCGGCGCTGGGCACAGAAGACAAGGCTTCCAGCATCCTCAGGAAGCACTCTCCACTGGGCTCCACCCCCAACCCAGTCCCTCAAACCCTCTTTCCTTCCGTCTTCCTCTCCTTCCCTCCCCTCAGCCCCTGTAGTGAGGAGAATGGAAATCGGGGCTCACACACTAAGCTACTTCCTCAGTACTTTTTGTTTTTATTTTGAGACAGAATCTTGCTAACTTGCCCAGGCTGCACTGGGACTTCAACCCTCCTGCCTCAGCCTCCCAGAAGGAAGTCAGTGCAACCCCCACCGATGCTCCACGTGGCCAGTTCTGGCTCTGGAGTTGCCGGGCAGGTTCACAACCCGGCTTCCCCTCTGGTCGCTAGCAAACCAGACAGGTGAGCCCCTCCCTGCCTCAGTTACCCTGTCTGTGAAATGGGTGTCGGCTGGCCATGCCTGAGATCTGCATACTGAACCTTGTGTGCTACTCTGGGAACAACAGGGTCATACGCAGCGAGTGCTCAGGGAGCAAAGAGAACCAGAGAGAGGACAGGGAACCCTCCCGCCTGAGGACGTGGTGTGACCTCCGGCGCTCGGTCAAGCTGTGCTGTGCCCGGCTGCTGGATGAAGCACAAAGGGGGTCGCGCAGGCGGAAGAGAGAGCGTTCAGGACTCCCGGCCGGGGCCAGGCCAGGCCGTAGGCGCTGCCCTCTCGATATGACCCACAGCGGCCCCCGTAGCAG